CCTAGTTTTGTTGGTTCCACTATCTGCTGGCTTAAGGTGTGTTTTTCGCAGAGACTTAGTAGCTCGTGTGTGTGACCTTTCATCTGCACTACCTCCGGGGATATATATATATATTATATATATATATATATATATATATATATATATATATATATATGATTATATATATATGATATATATATATATATATATATATATATATATATATATATAATATTATATATATATATATATATCGGAGTCCACAGTACTTTACCACGGAACTAGACTACAGAGTTAACAGGTTCGAGTTCTGCTGTGGACGTAGAGACAATCTTTGTAAATAATTTTGCCTGTTTGCGAATTATTAAGCAGGAAAGGACAAAGCTCGTCTCCTGGCAGTGAAGGCACCACACTCAGGAGATTTCCTGTTAGCTGTTCCCAATTCCTCCCTGGGCACCCGTCTCGACCCACAGGCCATTCGGATTGGTGTTGCTCTTCGCCTAGCCGCCCCCATCCTCACCGAACATAGGTGTATTTGCGGCAGGGCGACAGCTGATCAATTCGGACTTCATGGTCTCGTGTGTCACACAGCAGAAGGGAAGTATGCCAGACATGAGGAGGTCAATGACATCATAAAGAGAAGCCTCGCCACAGCCCGTTGCCCAGCTCAACGGGAACCCCAAGTACAGAGGTCTGATGGAAGTCAAAAGCGTCCTGATGGAGCCACTATGCTACCCTGGAAGGATGGAAAGCAGATTGCCTGGGACTACACCTGTGCTGCCACATTGGCAGACACCTACTTGCCATACTCCGTAGCAGAAGGGGGTGGAGCTGCCAGCCACAGGGAGACCCAGAAGATCCGAAAATATGAAGACCTTCCCCCTTGCTATAACTTCATTCCAATAGGGTCGGAGACCCTTGGAGCATGGGGCAAGTGTTTTCTAAAGTTCCTCAAAGAGCTGCGTGAAAAGTTCATCATAGAAACCAAGGACCACAGGGCGACCAGCTTCCTCTTTCAGAGACTCAGTGTTGCAATCCAGAGAGGAAATGCCTGCAGCATTCTGGGCACGCGGCCCACCGCAGGGGAGCTGGACGAAGTATTCGAGATGTAGCTCTGAGTTACCTATGTTGTTTTACTTTCTGTTGTATTTTTGTGAATGTTTAGCCAATGTATTTTGTCTTTAAATAAAACATACTTGAAATCTAGGGGGTGGTAGGAGAAAATTCTCAAACAGCTTCAGGGAGAACCTTGAGTTTTCCCTGAAGCAAGTTTTATTCTTTTCTCTGAGGATGAGGGTCCCCAGAACAGTTCTAGAGGTGGTACCTCCCATATTATATATATATATATATATATATATATATATATATATATATATATATATAATATATATATATATATATATATATAAATAATGCAATAAGGAACAATGGGCTAGTAACCCCTTCTGTAATAATTACTAAAAAGAATAAGAAGAAAATTGTCAAAGTGTGAAGTCTGAATGTGCATGGATGTTGTGCGAATGATAAGAAAGAGATGATTGTGGATGTTATGAATGAGAAGAAGCTGGATATCCTGGCTTTAAGTGAAACAAAGCTGAAGGGGGTGGGAGAGTTTCAATGGAGAGGAATAAATGGGATTAGGTCAGGGGTTTCTAATAGAGTTAGAGCTAATGAAGGAGTAGCAATAATGTTGAAGGATAAGCTTTGGCAGGAAAAGAGGGACTATAAATGTATTAATTCAAGGATTATGTGGAGTAAAATAAAAGTTGGATGTGAAAAGTGGGTTATAGCAAGCGTATAAGCACCTGGAGAAGAGAGAAGTGTAGAGGAGAGAGAGAGAGATTTTGAGAAATGTTGAGTGAATGCGTGGGGAGTTTTGAACCAAGTGTGAGAGTAATGGTGGTTGAGGATTTCAATGCTAAAGTGGGCAAAAATGTTGTAGAGGGAGTAGTAGGTAAATTTGGGGTGCCAGGGGTAAATGAAAATGGGGAGCCTTTAATTGAGCTATGTGTAGAAAGAGGTTTGGTAATAAGTAATACATATTTTATGAAGAAGAGGATAAATAAATATACAAGGTATGATGTAGCACGTAATGAAAGTAATTTGTTAGATTATGTATGGTGGATAAAAGGTTGATGGGTAGACTCCAAGATGTACACGTTATAGGGGGCAACTGATATATCGGATCATTTTTTGGTTGTAGCTACAGTTAGAGTAAGAGGTAATGGGAAAAGAGGAAAATGGCAACAAACAACAAGAGGGAGGTGAAAGTGTATAAACTAAGGGAGGAGGAAGTTCGGGTGAGATATAAGCAACTAATGGCAGAAAGATGGGCTGGTGCAAGTTGAGTAGGGGGGGGGGTTTTGGATTCCGTAGAATGAAAGGGGGAAAAAGAAAGGGGCTGGAACTAAAACCGGGAAATCTACAGAAATGTTAAAAGCAGGAGGGGATATAGGTTGGGTGGTTGGTAATTTTTTTTTTTTTTTTTTTAAAAAATTTAAAAAGAGGGAAGGTACCTAGGGTTTTGGCAGAGAGATTATAGCCCCCTTTAAAAAAAAGGGGAAGGGGGACAAAAGAAAATTGAAAAAAATTTTTGAGGAATTTTTTTAAACTTATAAACGGGAAAAAGTGTAAGGGGGGGTTTATAATTGAAAAAATTTAAGAGGTAAACAGAATGTGGGAATTGCAAAGGGACAAGGAAAAAAGGGTTTTCAGAGTGGTGGGGGTTGTAAAAGAAATTTTTTTACATTGAAACATTTTATGTGAACAGTATTTAGATAAAGGAAAGGGAAGTTTTTTTTTGGGAAATTTTAGGGTTTTTAGAAAAGGCACTGAAAAAGGGGATAGGGGAAGAAAATGGGCAGATGTTGAAAGGAAAATGGAAAAGGGGGGTAAGTTACTAAATCCCGGAAAAAGAGTTTTTATGAGATATTTGGGGCTCGGGTTTTAGGGTGTGTAGAAAAGAGGGAGATTACTTCCAGTAAAAGTAGGTCTTAGCCCGGGAAAATGTGAAAATTGTCACCAGGGTTTTTTAAATATAGTTATAGAGGGGGTTGAAAAAAGAAGAAAATCCCTAGGGGTTCGGGAGAGGGGGGGGTTTAAAATTTAGGGGGAATTAAATACAAAAGGGGAAAATTGACACATTTTTGTTTTCCCCGATGATACTGTGCTTAGGGGAGTTTCTAAAAAAAAATTGAAAAGGTTAGGGGAAAAAGTTTTGAGTGTGGAAAAGTAGAAAGTTGAAAGTGAAAAATGAAAAGAGTAAGGTAAATGATGGAAATAAAATTTGATTTAAATAAAGAAAAATTTGATTTTAAAATTTGGGGGAGGAGGATTTGGGAAGAAGTGAATGTTTTCAGAAACCCTTGGGGGGAAAAACGTTCGGGGATGGATTTAAAGAAGGATGATTTAACATAGAAAAAAGATGGGGAAAAAAAAAGAATAGTGGTGTGTTTTAAATATATGGGAGCAAAAAACAATTTTCTAAAGGAAGGGAAAAAAGGAATGTAAGAAAGTAAAAGGGAGTACCAACCCCTCTTATGGGTTTTGAAAGCTTGGGTTGTGAAGCAGGCCAAACGAGGGGGCGGGTTGGAGGCAGTGGAGATGCCGTCTAAGGGCAAAAGTTGGTGTTTAAAAATTATGCAGAAAATTTTTGGGGTTGGAAATTAGGAAAGGTGTGGGAGTTTTTTTTGAAAGTATTATCCGGAGGGGTGAAAAAAGGGCTCTTGGGGTGGTTTTGGGCATTTGGAGAGAATATATCAAGGGAGAATGACATGGGGGAAGGGGTATAAAACTGGGAGGGAAGGGAAGGGGGGGTAGGGGTCGTCCTCGAAAAGGTTTTGGGAAAGGAAAGGGGGAAGGCAGGGTTTTTTGGCGAGGGGCTTGGACTTTTAGCAAGCGGGGGCATGAACGTGTTCGATAGGTGAAAAGGAAACGAATGGTATTTGGGGCCTGACGATCTGTTGGAGTGGGGAGCAGGGGAAAAAATTTTGAAGGGATTTAGGGGAAACCGGTTATTTTTGTATAGCCGGGCCAGAGTCCCGGAAATGGGAAGTACAATGCCCCGCAAAACCCAAAGGGGGGGTTCGGGATATTTGGAGGGAAAATTTTGTGTATCTTTAAATTTGTAATGCTTTTTAAACGGGTTTTTGTTCCCGAGCCTTCCCGCAAAAAAAAAAGTGATTATGTGTGAGTGAGGTGGGAAAATGTTGAAAGATGATGAAAGTATTTTTTTTTTTGGGGAAATTTTTTTTCCTTTTTTTGGGGCACCCTGCCTCGGTGGTAGACGGCCGACTTTTAATAATTAAAATTTTTAATTAAAAAATTAAATTTATAAATTTTATGTCCAAAAGAAGAAAAAAAAAAGGGGGAAAATTTTTAAAAATTTAGAGGGAAAAAAAGTTGGGGTTTTTTTAAATTTTCCAAAATATTTTTATAGAATAAAAAAGGGGTATTCCCAGCATAGCTTCATTGATTGGTTCAAGCATAATTAAATTACCAGCAAATCAGGAAATATTTCTGTAGCCTTATTATCATTTGTGAAACATTTTGATACAGTTGCATCACTTAACTCGACATTACAGTAAAAATATACAGCAAAGAGATCTTGAATAAATGCATCCTCAGGTTTATACCATTACTCATAAGAAATATTTAGAGAAACCTATTCTGGTTCCACATCTATTTTACTGCCTTGATATAGTATATACACTCTTGGAAATACAACAACAACAATAATAATAATAATAATAATTAAAAGATGAGGTATACAGGTTCTAAATGAGTCGAGAAAGAGGAGAGACTTTAGCTGCCTCTTGAGTTATAATAATTACTAAATACACTGTTATGAAGCTTTACAAAACTGTAGAGAAAAATAAAACACTTAAAGTGTTGAAGCTTATAAGAGAAATGCGGGAGCGTTGATCTCTTTCAAAATTACATCTGGAAGAGATTCTGGTGTTAAGTTTTTAATAACATAATTGACTTTATTTTTGGTTTAACGTTATATGTACTTACAGGTGTGTCAGTGCGTGAGCTTGGTGATGGAGGTGTGGCTTGTGATGGACGAGTCAGCTGGTGGACCATCTTGATATGTGTAGGCGTGACATTTCTGGGCCTCGCCATTATCGCCATCTTCCTCGCTTGTCGTTGGAGGAGGAAGAGAAGGAGAAAGAGGAACAACCAAGATAAGACGATAGGAATGTGGGACGAAGTATGGAGGCCAGACAACCACATCGCTGCTACCCATCTCCCAGCACCTCCTACCAATGGTGACTCCACCCTCTACCCCCTCACTACACCCACACGTTTAGGACCACCCCCTCGTCTGCCCCCAGACCATCCCCTCCACCATCTTCACCACCATCACCATCAAGGATGTCTCCAACAGTGCCCCTATGACGCCCTCCACCCTGTCTACCACCCGCTGCTTCATCCCGACCACAACTCATCCCACGCTCCCCTAGACACCCCATCGCTCTACGAGAACACTATGCTAGGCTTCACTCAGAGCCACACCTCCACAGTGACTTCGCAGGGGCCGCCCCTTCCGCTAAGTGATCCTCCTCACTGGTATGCCACCATCAGCGGCGGCGGGGATGACAGTGGCAGGGAGAGTCGACCCATGGGCGCCTCTCGACCTCACGAAAAAAAATTTTTCCCAAAAAAATTTTGGGTTTTTGGGGTTTTTTTAAAAACCACCCTTTTTTTTTTTAAAAAAATTTTAAAAAAACCCCCCCCTTTTTTTTTGGGGGGGTTTTTTGGGCCCCGGGGAAAAAAAAATTTAAAAAAAAAAAAAATTTTTAAAAAAAAAAAAATTCCCCCAAAAAAACTGGGGAAAAAAGGGAAAAAATTTCCCTTTTGGGGAAAAAAAAAAGCACGGGAAATTTCCAAAAAAAAAAAAATTTTAAAAAAAATTTTTTTTAAGGGGGAAAAAAAATTTTAAAAAGAAGAAAAGGGGGGTTTTTTTTAAAATTTAAATTTTTTTTTAAAAAATTTATTTTTTTGGGAACCGGGGCGGGAAAGGGGGTTTTTTTTTAAAAAAGGGCCTTTAAAAAAGGGGGGGGAAAAAAACCCCCTTTTTCCCCCTTTCCCTTTTTTTAAAGAAAAAAAAAAAACCCCCAAAAAAGGGTTTTTTAAAAAAGGGGGGAAAAAAAAAAAAAAAAAAAATTTTCCCCCTTTTTCCCCGCCCAAACCCCCCCTTTTTAAAAAAAATTTTTTCCCCCCAAAATTTTTAAAACCACCCCCCCTTTCCCCCCAAAAAACCCCCCCCCAAAATTTCCCACCCCCCCCCCCCCCCCAAAAAAATTTTTTTTTTCCCCCCCCCCCCCCCCCTTTTTTTTGGGGGGGCCCCCCCCCCCCCCCAAAAAAAAATTTTTGGGGCCCCCCAAAAGGGGGGGGAAAAAAAAAAAAACCCCCAAACCCCCAAAAAAAAAAAAAAAAGGGGTTTTAAAAAAAATCCCCAAAAAAAAAAAACCCCCCCCCCCGGGGGGGAAAAAAAATTTTTTTTTCCTTTTTTTTTAAAAAAAAATTTTTTTTTTTTAAAAAAAAAAAAAAAAAAAATTTTAAGGTTTTCAAAATTCCAAAGGGGGGGTTTTGGGGGGGCCCCCCCAAAATTAAAAGGGGGCCCAAAAAAAAAAAACCCCCCCGGGGTTTTTTTTTTTTTTGGGGCCCCCAAAAGGGGCCCAAAAGGGAAAAAAAAAATTTTTTTTTTTTTAAAAAAAAAAAAAAAAGGGGGTTTTTTGAAACAAAACCCAAAAAAATTTTTTCGTCCTGGGGGGGGGAAAAAAAAAATTTTTTGGGGGGGAAAAAAAAAAAATTTTTTTTGGGGTTTTTTTAAATTATTCAAAAAAAAAAGGGAAATTTAATTTAAAAAAAAAATCCAAAAAGGGAAAAAAAAAAAAGGGGGGGGGGAAATTTTTTTTTCCCCCCCCTTTCCCTTTTAAAACCCCCAAGTTTAATGCCGGGATTTTTTTTTAAAAAAAAAGGGAAAACCTTTCCCGGAAAATTTACCCCCTTTTTTTTTTAAACCCCCTTTTTTTTAAAAAACCGGGGAAATTCCCCCAAAAAAGGGAAAAAAAAAAATTTTTTTAAAAAAAAACCCGGGGGGGGGAAAAAAAATTTTTCCCCAAAACCCCGGGAGGGGGCCCCAAATTTTTAAAAAAATTAAAAAAAAAAAGGGCAAAAAAATCCAAAAAAAAAAGGGTTTTTTTGGGAAAATTTTTAAATAAAAAAAACCCCTTACCTTAAAACCAAAAAATGGGGGGGGTTTAAAAAAAACCCCCAAAAAACCAAAAAAAAAAAAAAAAAAAAAACCCCCCCCCCCCTTTAAAATTTAAGTTTAAAAAGGGGGTTTTTTTGGTTTAAAAAATTTTTTTTTTTTGGGGGAAAAAAAAATTTTAAGGGGGGGCCCCGGGGGCCCCCAAAATTTTGGGTAAATTGGGTTTAAAAAAAAAAATTTTTCCCTTAAATTTTTGGGTTTAAAAATTTTTTTTTTTTTTTAAAAAAAATTTTTGGGTTTCCCCAAAAAAAAAAGGGTTTTTTTAAAAAAATTTTTTTTTTTTAAAAAAAAAAGGGGTAAGGGTTTTTTTTAAAAAAAAGGGGGTTTTTTTTTAAAAAATTAAAGGGTTTTTTTCCCGGTTTTTAAAATTTTTGGGAAAAATTTTTTTTAAAATTTAAAATTTTTTTTGGGTTTTGGAAAATAATTTTTTGAAAAAATTTTTTAACCCCTTTTTAAAAAAAAATTTTAAAATTTTTTTAAAAAAAAAAAAAGGGGGGCCGGAAATTTTTTAAATTTTAAAAAAATTTTAAAATTTGAAAATTTTAAAAGGGGGAAAGGAAAAATTTTAAAATTTTTTTTTGGGGGGCCCCAAACCCCCAAAATTTTTCCCAAGGTTTTTTTTTTCCCTTTTTTTTTTAAAAAAATTTACCCCCAAAAAGGGATTTTTTTGGGGGGGGGGAAAAAAAAACCCCAAAATTTTTTTAAAAAAAAGGGGGGGGTTTATTAAAAAAAAAAATTAGGGGGTTTTTTTTTAAAATTTTTAAGTTTTTTTTTTTTTCCCCCCCCCCGGGAGGGGCCCAAAAATTTTTTTTTTTTTTGGGGGTTTGGGGGCCCCCCTTTTTAAAAAATTTAAAAAAATTTTCCCCCTTTTCCTTTTTTTTTTAAAAAAAATTTTTTTGGGCCCCCTTTTTCCCCCCAAAAAAAATTTTTTTTTTTAAAGGGCCCCAATTTAAAAACTTTTTTCTTTTTGGCCCCCCCTTAAAGGGGTTTGGGGGGAAAAAAAAACCCCCCCCCCTTTTGGGGGGGGAAAAAAATTTTTAAAAAAAAAAAACCCCCCCCTTTTTTCCCCCCCTTTTTTTTTTTCCCCCCTTTTTTTTTTTTTTAAATTTTTTTTTTTTTTTAAAAAACCCCCCCTTTTTTTTCCCCCAACCCCCCCGGGGGAAAAAATTTTTTCCCCCCCCCTTTTTTTTTTTAAAAAATTTTGTTTTTCCCCTTTTTAAAAAAGGGTAAAAAAATTCTGGGTTTTTTTAAAAAAATTTTTTTTTTTTTTCCCCGAACCAAATTTGGGGGGGGGGGTTTTTAAAATGGGGGGGGGTTTTTTTTTTTTCCCTTTTTTAAAAGGGTTCCAAGTTAAACCTTTTTTTTTTTAAAAAAAAAATAAAAATTTTTTTTTTTGGGGGGTTTTTGGGGGGGGTTTTTTTTTTTAAAAAATTTAAAAAAAAAAAGGGGGGGGCCCCTTTTCCCCCTTTTAAAAAGGGGAAACCCTTTTTTTAAATTTTGGTTTTTTTTTGGGGGGGCCCGGGGGGGGAAAAAGGGTTTTAAACCCTTTTCCCCCCCCGGGGGGGGGGGGGGGGGGAAACCCCATTTTTAAAAAAAAGGGAAAATTTTTTGGGGGAAAAAAATTTTTTTGGGGGGCCCCCCCTTTTTTTTGGGGAAAAATTTTTTTTTCCCCGGTTTTTTCCCCCCAAAAATTTTTTTCCTTTTTTTTTTTTTGGGGGAATTTTTTAAATTTTTTAAATTTTTTTTTTTTGGTTTTTTTTTAAAAATTTTTTTATTTTTCATTTTTTTTTTAAAATTTTTTAAATTTTTTTTTAAAAAAAAAAGGGGGGCCCCCCGTTTTTTTTTTCCCCTTTTTTTTTTTTTTAAAAAAAAAAACCCCCCCCTTTTTTTTTTTTTAAATTCCCCCCTTAAACCCCCTTTTTTTTCCCCCCTTTTTTTGGGGCCCAAAATGAAAGGTTTTTTTGGGGTTTTTTGGGGGGGGGGGGTTTTTTTTTGGGGTTTTTGCCCAAAAATTTTTTAAAAACCCCCCAAAAAAAGGGGTTTTTTTCCCCCCTTTTTTTTAATTTTTAAAATTTTTTTTTTAAAAAAATTTTTTAAAAAAAAAAAATTTTTTTTTTTGGGGAAAATTCCCCAAAAAAAGGGGGGTTTCCAAAAATTTTTTTTTTTTTTTTTTTTCCCTTAATTTTTTTTTCCCCCGGGGGGGCCCCCCCCTTTTTTTTTTTTTTTTTTTTTAAAAAAAAAACGGGGTTTAAAAAATTTTTGGGGTTTTTAATTAAAAAAAAAAAAATTTTTTTAAATTTTTTTTTAAAACCCCGGCCCCCCCCGGGTCTAAAAAAAAAAATTTTTTTTTTCCCCTTTTTTTTTTATTTTTTAAAATTTTTAAAGTTTTTTTTTTTAAAATTTTAAAAAAAAGGGTGGGGAATTTTTGGGGGTTTTTTTTGGGGGGGTTTTTTTTTAAAGGGGGAAAATTTTTTTTTTTAAATTTATTTTTTTCCGGGGGGGGCCCCAATTTTGGGGGGGGGGTTTTTTTAAAAAAAGGTTTTTTGGGGAATGGGGGGGGTTTTTTTAATAAAATTTTTTAAATTTTTTTGGCTTTTTTTAAAATTTCAAATTAAAAAAAAAAAAATTTTTTTTAAAAAAGGGGAAAGGAAACCCCCAAAAATTAAAAAAGGGGGGGTTTTAAAAGGGGGGAATTAAAGGGAAAATTTTTTAATTTAAAAAAACCCCCCCAAAAAAAAAAAAAAAATTTAATTTAAAGGGGGGTTTTTTTTTTTGTTTTTTTTATTTTAAAACCCCAAAATTTTAAAAATTAATAAAAAAAAAAAAACCCCCCTTTTTGGGAAAAAAATTTTTAAATTTTTGGGTTTTTTTTTTTCAAAAAAGGCCCAAAAAAAAATTTTTTTAAAAGGGTCCTTGAAAAACTATTTGGGGGGGCCCCCCCCTTTTTAAAAGGAAAAGGGGGGGAAAATAGTGCCAGTATCATCAGTTAGGGAAAATTTGGGTTTCCCGGCCAGCCCTTCCCTGTGATATGTGAATGCCCTTTTTTTAAAATCATTGCAACATAAAGGGAAAAAACTGGATTAGGTTAAATTAGGCGAAAGTCCCTAGGCCTTTTAAAAAAGGGGGCATCAAGTCAAAAATGAGAAGTTGAAGAAAGGCCAAAGGAATTCCAAGGCTAGTTTAAAGGGGTTTTCCGTTAGTGTTTAAAAGGGGGGCCCGGGTCCTTTAAAATAGGCATAACATGAGTAAGCTATCCTTTATTAAGGCTTTTTGGGGGGGTTTTTTTTCTATTCAATAAAAAAGAATAAGGGAAAGGGCATCTCTAAGGGGAAAAAAAGGAGACCGAAAATTCCCCCTACATGGCAAGC